AGGGAGAAGGCCACGTTAGGACATGGGAGAAGGCCACATGGGTACATGGAACCCAAAGAGAAGGCCACATGAAGACACAGAGAGAAGGCAGCCTTCTGTAAGCCAAGGAGAGAGATCCCGGGAGAAACCAGCCCTGCCAGCATCTTGGTCCTGGATTTCCAGCCTCCAGACCTGTGTTGTTTAAGCCACATAGTCAGAGGCACTCAGTTATGGCAACCTTAGCAAACTAGTATAGTACAAAACCAATTAACAGCACACAAACCTATAGTTAACTTTCCATGGCATACTTACATTGATAAAAAAAAAAAAAGAGAGAGAGAGAGAGAGAGAGGGTAAAAAAAGAATATATTACTATGCTTTGAACTCTTTTTGAGAATAATTTAATTAATGATCTTTAAAAATTTTCGAGACACACCTAAAATCCTCTCATGGCTCGCCAGTTGAAAATCACTGACCTACATCTTCTTCCGGCTCATAGAATTTCTCACTTTTAAGAAAGCATTATGTGATGTTTCATTTTTTTTTTTCTTTTGAGACAGAGTCTCACTCAGTCTCCCCCAGTAGAGTGCCATGGCACCATAGCTCACAGCGGCCTCAAACTCTTGGGCTCAAGCTATCCTCCTGCCTCAGCTTCCTGAGTAGCTGGGACTATAGTCGCCTGCCATAACACCTGGCTAGTTTTAGAGCCAGGGGTCTCCCTCTTGCTCAGGCTGGTCTTGAACCTGTGAGCTCAGGCAATTCACCTGCCTCAGCTTCCCAGAGTGCTGGGATTACAGGTATGAGCCACCATGCCTGGCCTCGTTTGATTTTTAAATGTTTGTGCTTAAGGATTCCTTTTCCTTGGAGAATACAGGAAATAGGCACTTGTGTTCCCTCACTGTTTAATTCACTCTCTGTTTGTGTCCTTGAAAAAGCTCTGGCCAGGACATGTCACTGACCCCCAGACTGGTAAGGAAACTAAGACCTGTAACATGGGGAAAGTTCTTTTTCCCAACATGCCATATTTTTTTTTTATTATTTCAGGTTGATTTGAGAATACAAAGAATTAGGTTACGATGTTTGCATTTTTTTAGGTAGAGTCACTCTTATAATTGTGTCCCACCCCCAAGAGATGTGCCGTACACCCTAACATTGTGACCATTAAGTGGGAGCATGCCCACACCCCTCCCGCCTCCCTTCTCCCTGTTCCCTGGTTCCCCACCCCCACCTTGAGTTGATTTGAGTTTTTCTCTTGCACGGGCCTGTATTAGGTCGTCTCCTGGCTTCATCTTGGTGTTGAGTACATTGGATTCTCGCTTCTCCATTCTTGTGGTATTTTACTAAGAAGCCAGCAAGCCGCACCGTGGTCTGTGGACATACAGAGGAGGCAGAGTGACTGTACAGTGTCCTGGTGGCACCAGTCAGACTGTCACCTGGTTCACTGGCCGTCTTGACAGTAAGGAGCAGCTCCCAGAACGGCCCATAGATTAGAGGTTGAAAAACACGTGGATTAGACCCTCAGCTTCTAGATGACCTGCTCTAGTTACTGTTACCAATGACCCCTTAGGGAATCAAATGCCTGTTTTTTAAAGCACCTTTTGGAGCTCAGTACCTATAGCTCAGTGGCTAGAGCACTGGCCACATACACCGGAGCTGGTGGGTTCAAACCCAGCCCGGGCCTGCCAAACAACATTGACAACTACAACCTAAAAATAGCGGGGCCTTGTGGCAGGTGCCTGTAGTCCCAGCTATTTGGGAGGCGGAGGCAAGAGAATCACTCAAGCTCAAGCGTTTGAGGTTGCTGTGAGCTATGATGCCAGGGCAACAACTTGAGACTCTGTCTCAAAAAAAATGCACCTTTTGGGTTAATCTGGAATTTTTTCCTCCCTCACATCCCTAACCAAGAATTTCCTTTTCTCACATGTATTGAACACTTACATTTACATAGATGAAACAATGAATCAAAGCTTTCATTAATAATCTAAATATATATAAACAGATCAATCAATAAGGAAGCAATGCAAGGCAGGACCCTGTGTTTTGGTGGGGTTGATGTGGCAGCCATTATTCTGTGCAGTTAACAATTAGTAACTAACTTCATCGGCCGACTCCTGCTAGCCACCCTCTGAGGGCCAAAACCTCCAGTTTAACAAATGGTGAAACTGAGCCACAGAATGCTAAGTATCCGGTCCCAGGTCATAGCTGGGATCCAGCATTCTCTGCAGAAACATGGACTTCCTCCCATCGTCTGAGATAACGTCAGGCTCGATGCAAACAAGCCCCTCCTGCCCTCAGACATTGCAGGTGGAGTCGGAGTTGACGCAAAGTTAAGTCACACAGATCTTACTGTGTGCTGGAGTTTCCCGGAGCTGCTTTCCTGTGAGGGCGCTGGTGTAAGTGTAAGACCGTCTAGGTCATGTCGTTCACAGCCTGAGCCCTTTGCCTTCTGAGGAAGAATCTTACATCTTTAAGAAGAAAAAGTTGATACAGCAAAGCTCTGCAAAACCCAAGCCAGGGATGGGCTACTCCGTCTGGTGCTCACATAGAGAAACGGCACCTCATCCAACTCAGCAGGAAAAGCTTAATGGGAAACGGCATTTTCAAGGATAATTCTCACTTTGTGTGGCTTGTTAGCTGTCTCACAGACTTCAGTATTCAGCCGGAAGGATGACGCAGCAACACCCAGCTCGCGGGAGCTGTTCTGGGAGGGAGAGAGATGATGGGCACACAGGGGCAGACACTGGAGGCAGGTGCGCGGGAAGTAACAGTGTCCCCTTAAATCAAGTGGCTTAAAACAACAGAAATTTATTCTTTGACTTTGCTGGAAGTCCGAAATCAAGGTGTGCCCAGGCCCACACTCCTGGGGGCTCCAGGAGAGGCTGCTGCCCAGCCCAGGTAGCTCCTGGTGGCTGTCGGCAACCCCTGGCTTCCTTGCTGTGGCCACTCCAGTCCTTGCCTCTGTGTGCTCACTGCCTCCTCCTCTTCTCTGGTTGAAACTCCCACAGCTTCTGTCTTACCAGGAAACACATGATGGCTCCTGGGGCCCAAAGAGTAACCTAGAATAAGCTCCCCTCTCAAGATCTTACCTTCACCCTATCATCCTCTGAAATAGTATTAACTCTCTTAGTATATAAGGCATTACCCATAGATTCTGGGGTGAGGGGGACATGGACATATTGATGTGGGGGGCACTGTTCAGCCCCCTTCTCCATTTACTCATTCATTGGCCAAGCATCAATTCTATGCCTACAGTCTGCTAGACTCGATGCCTAAGCAAGGGTGAGGCTGGCAGAACACAGCCCGGCCGGCCAGGGAGGCATCTGCCTGGGACCACCACAGAGCGTCTACCTGCCCGGTCATCAGCTCTGCCTCTGAGCTTCATAAGCCGTGTTGGTCAGCACCTCCAGGAACTCTCACTGAAGGGAGCCATTTCAATTATCAGACCTCTCTGCGCTCTGCAAATATTTATAAGTTTCTGGAAATTATGATAAACGTTTATTTACTAAATTGAACTTTAGGGACTAGGAGACCAAGACGGGTGAGCCGTGGGCTTATTTATTTCTCACTCCCCTCGTCCGCTTCCTTCTCCCCCTGCTCTCTGGGCATCTATACTTTTCGCTTTTTTGCTTCTGTCCCACCCTCTGCCCACGTGTGTGCCAGGGAGGAACCATCACCTATAGTTCATATGCAG